GTGTCGAAAACTAGTCCATCAGGAATGTCTTTTACCAGACCAGCATGTCGAAAACAGTTTCTTATGGTTTCCTTAGAGACACTTCCCGTGCAACACTTAACATATTGACAGCATCTAAAAGACTCATAGCTTTTGTCGGGTTTGCTTCTTCAGGAAGGTCCATAATTTTCATCAGAAGCTGCTTTCTTTAAGATTGCTTCAAGCTATTAATGACGCTTTGATCCGTGGGCTGAAGAACCGATGTAGTATTAGGCGGAAGAAAATGTAGTTTAATGTTGTGAAGATGAACTTGAGGATGAGCAGGGCAATTATCTACTAATAGCAAAATTTTAGTTTTGGCTTTTATAAGTTCACAATCCCATTTCTTTAAATAGTCAGTAAAGGTCTGAGAAGTCATCCAGGATTTGTTGTTAGCACAATAATCTACCGGCAACGTTTTAACGTTTTTAAAGCATCTGCGATTGTTATATTTTCCTGAAAGYAGACATTGTTCAGAAACAKCGGATTGTATTAAATTGTATTTAAAACTTACCAAYAAMMAATAATTTCTGTTTTACCGTGCCCGATGCATTAGCAMAAATCATGGCAGTTATTCTTTCTTTAGACATTTTTCCACCACTGCATGTTTCACCTTTGATCTTATGTGTTTTGTCAGGCAGCATMTTATAGAAAATTCCCGTTTTGCCGAAGCAAATATTATGCCTCTTTTTAAATCTGTCTAGCCATCCGGAACTGCATTTAAAATTAGCACCGACAGTTTCTCCGAATTCATTGGCTTTCATCATTAGCATTGGAYCACTTACTGGAAAATTATTAGCCCTTTTCTGCTGAAACCATTTAAACAGTAATTCATCAACTTGATTTTTTTCTCTTATCGTTTCTTTGACTTTCTTTTTCTTTATCGTTTATGACTTTCCAATCATTTTTAATTTTTTACCAATTAATCCATATGTTTGAAACAGTCTATTTTTTTAGGTTTTTGTTCAAGCAAATGTCAGGGAAGTTCCTCCTTCAATTTCGCATATTATTGTATATTTTTCATGCAATGTAAATGCTCGCTTTTTATTTTTTCCTGACATTTTTCTAAAAATCAACAACTCTCAATGAAAAGCCAATGAACGTCACTTTCATCCCACTGCAGAAGTTGTTTGTCTTCTTTGACTTATTTCTAAGAAAAAATGAACATTTTCTGCTGCAGAGAGTGATTGTGTCTCGTGATCGAATTCGGGGAAGTACAAAATTTTGCTTATTGCCAACTGATTGCCAACTTTGTTTTGAAATTTGAATTTGAAAGCTTCGGTTATAATGGACAAAATCCGATTTGATTGTCTATTATAACCGGAGTCTATTATAACCGAGTTTATTTTAACCGAGTTTTTTACATATGTTTGAACTGGGACTTGACAAAGAGGTACATAATAACAGAGTTTCCATYTTAAGCGAGTCCATTATAAATGGATTACACTGTATTGTCCAAGTCCATATCATCCGATTCGGGCCAAAAATATTCGGTTATCATTGAGCGGCTTCAGTTCTTGCCTCAATTTGATATTGTGATGATGTAACCCAGATACTGATTTGGGTCTTCCTCAATAGATGCGCTAGCGGCAGCAAAATTCTCGACACTACGGACACTACTTTGTCTCACTGGCACGGGAACATTTTGTACTATGCCTTTCGATTAATTTTTTTTTACTAGACGCACAATTGTTGACCTGACAGGACAATTGTGACGACCATAAATTGAACGTAACGCTCTTAAAGTTGAGGCCACTGACTCTGAATTTCGGTAGTAAATTTTARTAATTTCAACTTACTGTTGGATCGCATATTTTTCCTCAATGAAATGGGAAATCTCACTGAAGAGAAAACAGCGGTATATACAGCTATCTGTTGGTAAAATGATAGATTTCTTTTGCTCGATCATACACCTATTTCAACTTAAACTAACATAAATAAATTTTACTCAATTAAATACAAACACCTCGACCTAATCTCCCTTGAATTAATTAAAGTCAATTAAATATTTAAAGCTAAATATAATCTGTTAAGCAAATTTAATTCAATATTAAAGAGTAATAAAATAGTTTTAGGACAAACGGTGGACTACATGCCTAACAATACTCCCGGCTAAATAAAAGTAATTCTAAGAAAATAAAAACCCAATCCTCTCCTCTTAATTAGTGATCCAAATGAAGTGAATTTTTGTGCCATTTGCATTTCCGGAAGTAAAGTGAAACAATTTCAAGCGTCACTTGGCTATCACGATTATACCTTTGCTGTAGATAAAGATACAGATAACTGTAAATATGCTTATGAACATCCATGTTGGTCACATGTTCGTATGTCTATAATTTGCAGTAAATGCACATTCGCCTGTGTATTTGGTCCATATAGAGGAAATGAGCATATCTCGACGCCTTTCCGGTCGAAATTAAACGCCCACATAATCCGACGAACCAACACACGAACGAACGTATGAGTGAGGCGATGAAACATTCACGTGAAAGTCATGCAGACATTCCGAATTATGCCGGCATGTCGGTCCATGCTGGCCATAATAAGCTACAGCAGCAGTTGCGCTGGTTGGCAAAAGCTGCGACTGATGGAAGAGGCGTTCGTTGCAACAGAACACGGCTACAAACATAGAGATAAAATCAAACATATCTACTAGTGTRTAATATGGGTGTGTTCCATTGCGTTTAGGCGAGTTTGGTAGCTAAAAGCTGGCAGCGTTGTACCTGCATGTGTTGCGCCGCATGCTCAACATTTCTCGACTGATTAATGCCGCCTGCCACATTTTCGAAGTGTTTGTTCAGTCATGATTGCAATTTGCATTACTGCAGTGTCGTTCTTGTTGTTGTCAAAATATTTTTTTGTTGTAAGCTCAATTGCAATAACTAACTGCCRCGTTGGCAGAGCAGTGCACAGTTATCTCAACATGGTAGTTGCTAATCTTATGAAAAGAGCATTCGGAATTACCGAGGAAATGAATTTTCATCTGTTTCCGCTTTTAATCTCACAGCGGTGACTTAATGTGCAATTGACTGTTGGACTTCAAAATGGGGCAAATAATGAAATTGCATAGTATAGGGATTTGCAATTGGGATATATATGAGGACATAGTTATAGATTTATTTAATGTCTTTCCTCACGCACCGATTTCTTTATTTCATTGATGTGTTGATCATCGATTGACGATGATGGAAGTCCTGGGCGTGCTTCGTCGTCAACGCGTTCTTGACCGTTGAATAATTTAATCAAAAACACTTGCTCGCGACAAACAATCATTACCGAAGACCTTTTCAAACATTCAGAACATTTCGGCAGGGTTTTAATTCCACAAAATTATATAGAACTTCTATCTTGATTAACTTCAGTCATCGTAAAAATCGGCTTTACTTTCTGTACTTCAGAAAGACAAGCAAATACTAAACATTAATGATTAGTAGTCGATGAGTAATGGATGAAGAAATATTATACTACAAGCCCTTGATTCCGATAGTTCGCTTTGTATGGCAGCTATAGCATATAAGTTAACCGATCTGAACAATTTCTTCGAATATTATATTGTTGCCTTAGGAAATAATCTATACCAAATTTCGTGAATATATCTTGTCAAATGTGAAAGTTTTCTATGCAAGCACTTGATTCCGATCGTTCGGTTTGTATGGCAGCTATATCCTATAGTGGTCCGATATCGACAGTTCCGACAAATGAGCAGCTTCTTGAAAACAAAATGACGTTTGCAATATTTCAAAGCGATATCTTGAAAACTGAGGGACTAGTTCGTATATATACAGACAGACGGACATGGCTAAATCGACTCAGCTCACCATACTGATCATTTATATATTATAGGGTCTCCTCGGGGTATAAATATCTCTGTTACATAAAAAATCATACATTTTCACTTTCTTCATGTTGTGCTTCCTCTTATTACTCTTCCTCTCCATTTTTATTGCTCGATCCTTGTGGGTCAACTGGGATTGACGCAGAATTTAATAAACAGGACATGTGGCACACATTGGCTTATTCGACCGCCATCCGTGTTGCTGCTGGCTGCAGTCTCCACCATCAATTGTTGAAAATGAGTACAAGTTTACGAGTCGGAGAATATACAAACACTTATAGACGTACATATATATGCACCAATTCGTGTGTGTATAATTGCAAACAAATGATTGCGTATGACTATTGGAACAACGAAAACTGAAACAGATGAATTTATAGTGCAAGGAGGCAGAGAAAGCTTTGAGAACCTGAGAAGAGACACTAAGAGAGTGTGAGAGAAAAAATTCGTAGGCAGCAGAGAGACTGAAACCGAAGAGCGATAATGGAAACAAATTTTAATTGTACAACAGGAATAAGAGATTCTTTGGACTATGTGAGAAATGAAGCAAAGGAAGTTTAAGGAGAGTATGAGAGAAAAGACGCGTTGGTAGTTGAGAGACTGAATATGAAGGAGCGATAATAGAGAAAAATTTTAACACAAATTATTCACTATAATCGGTTATCGAGAGCAGAAGAAAGAAATTATTTGGACCATGACGAAGTAAAGCAAGGAAACTTTTACATCCTGAGAGGAGAAATTAGGAGAGTATGAGAGAAAAGACGCATTAGTAGCTGAGAGATTGAAATTGAAGGAGCAAGAATAGAGAAAAATGTGTGTTTGAGAGCAGAAAAAAAGAGATAATTTGGACTATGTGAGAAATAAAGTAAAAGTTTTGTGGAGAGTTTATTGTGATGCACTCTACAATGAACATTTTAGACTTTTAGGTAAACTGATAATGTAAAACTTTACTATACAATTAATTATAGGGCTTTAAGAAGTAATTAAATTTATTAGAAGACTGACTCAAAGACGGAAGGTTTTTAGAATAAATACGTTGCTATATTGAATAATTTTACGGTAGGGTGGAACGATACTGTTGACGTCCCTGGTGTTGAAGAGGGATGAGATATCGAGAGGAGTTTTATCTTGAGGGATATAAACCGAGATAGTTCTGTACTTGTATAGGTTGTGAAGTTCGGGAGCTATAGAGATATTTTGAGGTTCAGATGAATCTCAGTGATGCAAATGATATCGATCAATTTGTCTTCGAAGAGTTGGGCGAGTTCGATCCGTTTGGAAGAGGGGAGTCCGTTTTTGTTCCAGTTAAGGATCCTCAGGCATGGTTAAGTCCTGAAGAGGGTATAATTAATTCCCGAAATCGTTGCTGAAGAGGACCCTTAAAATGGGAGTAAGTGGCTTTTGCGTCTTTCTGGTTTTTGAGTGGGCAAGAAGCCATGACATGAGAGCGAGCAAGAAAACCGTGAACCCAGAAGGTGTGGCAATAGTTCGCCGTTTAGGCGAGTGGAAGGAAATGCAGGCATTGGCGTGTGGTTTGCGAGTTTCGATTTGCCTCGGCCTTGATGTTGAGGCTGCTGAGCACTTTAAGTTTTAAAATTGATTTTGATGAATAGTCTGAGCGCTCAAATTAACCGATATTAGGGCCAGATTTTCAGGATCTTGCGTATATGGTGTACGCTTTTCACCGCTGTTGTTTTCGTTTTGAGTTCGCCAAGAATGATCTTGTCATCAAAACAAATTTTTTTTGGAGCTGGTTTTTTTTGCTAGTTTTTTGTGCCTTTCTAGCGCAGAGATTATTACACGATATCCGTTAGTTTCAGGATGTGCACTTAGCAGATCGATTTGGAGTATCTGCTTTATGCAGGCCGGCGCTAATTTTTGGTGGTGGATTTTTTTCTTGGAGGGTGGGGGGCGGTCGTTGACCGATGA